GAGCTGAAACACTTAGCCGGACATGTCAGTTTCTTCTTGTAACATGGGCCCTTTTCTTTGCACACTACAGAGGACCTTATGATACCACCTTTAGAGTACCCACCATTCGGACCCCCATATCCGGCTCCATAGCCGCCACCAATTCCATTTCCCCACCCACTTCCAAACCCGGGAATATTGAACCCCCCTCCGGGCCCGAAGAATTCACCCATCCCACCATCTTTTCCACTACCTTTCTTGTTACTGTTGGATTTTGGTTTGGATGATCCAGGGCCAGTGTGTTCGGGTTGGGTTGCAAAGGAAAGAGTAGCAGAGATGATCAAGAAAGCTAAAAGGAAAGTGATTATAGATTTCATGTCGAAAGAGAATCAGATAAGAGTAAGATGAAATATTTAAGTAGACATGATGGGAAAAGGAGGTGTAAAAGGCCTTTAAGAGATGCAGAGAGAAAAGGAAAGTGGATGGCAGTTGGGGAGCTTGCAATGCATTCATTGCACATATACAAAGTCTTCAATGGACACTCCACTCAACTCGACTCGATTCCAATTCCACTTGACTCAGACATTTAAATGTAATGCCATCTCTATTTTAGATAGTCAATTCTTAAATTAAGCTTCAATAAACTCTTAGTGTGTTTTATTAACTTTATTTTTCATAGAAAATGTTATTTTTCCATTCAAATTCCTATTTTTGTGATGTTTGATGAACATTTTTTCACATAAAAAATAGTTTTCAAATTTTGGCCACGTGATCATATTTTTCTCAAAAAAAAAAAAAAAACATTTTCTTCGAGGAGGAGTGATTTTTATTTTTTTATGTAATTCACTCTCTATTTCTCTCTCTCATCTATTGCTTCTCTCTTATCTACCCACCAATAAAAAATGAATAAATATAATATTTTTTAAGTTGAAAACTAAATCAAACAAAACATTTAATTAATAATTTACATACAAATAAATTTTATATAATTGAATCGCCTTCAATTTATTTTCTTTTCATACAAATTTCATGCTCGTAATGAAACACACCCTTAAAGTCTTACCAATTGATTGCGGATAGATACCATTGAGAAATATAAAATTATTTATATGTTGAATTTAACATACTAAATATTTTAATTGGTAAATTATTTTATCCCCTTGTAGGCTAATGGGACCGCAAGCGGATCTTTTTATCTTAGACTTAGGGTATAAAAAGTGATAGACCACTCTATTT